GATTCTCCTGCCTCAGCCTCCCAAGTATCTGGGATTACAGGTGTGCACCACCAGGCCCGGCTAATTTTTGTATTTTTAGTAGAGATGGGGTTTTATCATGTTGACCAGGATGGTCTTGAACTCCTGACCTCAAGTGATCCACCCACCTCAGCCTCCCAAAGTGCTGGGATTACAGGTGTGAGCCACCACACTTGCCCATTTTCTTTTTTTCTTTTAAGAGACAGTCTTGCTCTGTCATCCAGGAGTGCAATGGCATGATCATAACTCACTGAAACCTTGAACTCCTGGGCTCAAGCAATCTTTCTGTCTCAGCCTCCCAAGTAGCTAGGACTACAGGTGTGCACCACCATGCTCAGCTAATTTTACGTATGTATATATGATGTATTTATTTTTAGATACAGAGTCTCACTCTGTTACCCAGGCTGGAGTGCAGTGGTATGATCATAGCTATGTATGTATGTATGTATGTATTTTTAAATACAGGGTCTCACTCTGTCGTCACCCAGGCTGAAGGCAGTGGCACAATCATAGCTCACTGCAGTCTTGAACTCCTGAATACAAGTGATCTCCTACCTCAGCCTCCTGAGTAGCTGGGAGTACAGGCAAGTGCCACCATGCCTAGCTATGTTTTTTTGGTAGAGAGGGGGCCTCATTGTGTTGCCCAGGATGCTCTCTGACTCCTGGCCTCAAGCAATCCTCCTGCCTCTGCCTCCCCAAATGCTGGGATTGCAGGCGTGAGCCACTGTGCCTAGCCTGAGGCTAATTTTTAAAAGTTTTCGTTAAGATGGATCTCATGTTGCCCAGGGCTGGCCTTGAACTCCTGGCCTCAAGCAATCCTCTTACCTGTGCCTCCCAAAGCACTGGGATTACAGGTGTGAGCCACTGTGTCACTAGGCCCCAGAGAACGTTTTCTTTTTTCTTCTTTCTTTACTCTTTTTTAGAAACAAGGTCTCCATTTGTCACCCAGGTTGGAATGCAGTGGCATGATCATAGCTCACTGTAACCTTGAACTCCTGGGTTCAAGTGATTCTCCTGCCTCAGACTCCCAAGTAGCTGGGACTACATGCACATGCCACCACACCTGGCTAATTTTAAATTTTTTTTATAGAGATGGGATCTTGCTATGTTGCCCAGGATGGCCTCTAACTCCTGGGCTCAAGTGATCCTCCCACCTGGGCCTCTCAAAGTACTGGGATTATAGGTGTCAGCCACAGTGCTCAGCTGAGAATGCTTTCTAGTTGAGGAAATAAAACTAATATATGTGGAAAGCACCATAGTGTACAAAAATAAGTACTTGGCTGGGCATGGTGGCTCACGCCTCCCTGCACTTTGGAAGGCTGAGGCAAGAGGGCTGCCTGAGGCGAGGAGTTCAAGACCAACTTGGGGAACAAAGCTAGAACCTATCTTTACAAAAAATAAAATAATTAGCTGGGTGTGGTGGTGCACATCTGTAGTCCCAGCTACTGGGGAGGGTGAGGTGGGAAGATGGCTTGAGTCCAAGAGTTTGAGGCTGCAGTGAGCTATGATTGTGCCACTGCACTCCAGCCTGAGCAACAGAGTCTCTGTCTCCAAAAAATACCCACCAAAATGGCCGGGCACGGTGGCTCATGCCTGTAATCCCAGCACCCTGGGAGGCTGAGGCGGGCAGATCATGAGGTCAGAAGATCAAGACCATCCTGGCTAACACAGTGAAACCCCGTCTCTACTAAAAATACAGAAAAATTAGCTGGGAGGGGTGGCGGGCACCTGTAGTCCCAGCTACTCAGGAGGTTGAGGCAGAAGAATGGCATGAACCTGGGAAGCGGAGCGTGCAGTGAGCCGAGATCACACCACTACACTCGAGCCTGAGCGACAGAGCGAGACTCCGTCTCAAAAAAAAAGAAAAAAAAATACCCCCCAAAACAAAAAAACAAATTAAAACTTGGGTGAATGCCATGGTGCTAGGTTATGAAGAGCCTGAAAATCCAGGTATAAATGGCCCTTTCTTTCTTTCTTTTCTTTTCTTTTTTTTTGAGACAGAATTTTGCTCTTCTTGCCCAGGCTGGAGTACAATGGCACAATATCAGCTCACTGCAACCTCTGCCTCCTGAATTCAAGCGATTCTCCTTCTTTGGCCTCCCAAGTATCTGGGATTACAACAGGCGTGCACCACCATGCCTGGCTAATTTTGTATTTTTTTGTTTTTGTTTTTTTGAGATGGAGTCTTGCTCTGTTGTCCAGGCTGGAGTGCAGTGGTGTGATCTCAGCTTACTGCAACCTTTGCCTCCTGGGTTCAAGCGATACTCCTGCCTCAGCCTGCCGAGTAGCTAGGACTACAGGTGCCTGCCACCATGTCTGGCTAATTTTTGTATTTTTAGTAGAGACGGGGTTTCACTATGTTGGCCAGGCTTGTCTCGAACTCCTGATCTTGTGATCTGCCTGCCTCAGCTTCCCAAAGTGCTGGAATTATGGGCGTGATCCACCATGCCCACCTAATTTTATATTTTTAGTAGAGATGGGGTTTCACCATGTTAGTCAGACTGGTCTCAAACTCCTGACCTCAGGTGATCCACTTGCGTCAGCCTTCTAAAGAGCTGAAATTACAGGTGTGAGCCACCACGTCCAGGCTTAAGTAGCTTTAAAGAGAAAAGGGCCCAGGGCGGTGGCTCACGCCTGTTATCCTAGCACTTTGGGAGGCCGAGGCAGGTGGATCATTCGAGGTCAGGAGTTCAAGACCAGCCTGGCCAACATGGTGAAACCCCGTCTCTACTAAAAATACAAAAATTAGCCGAGCGGTAGTGGCATGCGCTTATAATCCCAGCTACTCAGGAGACAGAGGCAGGAGAATTGCTTGAGCCTGGGAAGGGGAGGTTGCAGTGAGCCAGGATCACACCACTGTACCCCAGTCTGGGTGACAGAGTGAGACCCCCATCTCAAAAAATAAATAAATAAATAAATAAATAAATAAATAAATATAAATAAAGAGAAAATAGGAAAATAATGATAGATTTTTGACTTGACTAGAAGAGTAGAATTTGACTGGCTTTTCAATAGTATGTATGCAACATGGATTAGAATGAGAGACTAATCAAGGAGGCCAGCTAGGAGACTTTAGAGGAATCCAAGCATAAAGAAAGTGATGGTAGGGAGAATAGGAAGGAATAGAATAGAAAGAATTTGAAGAATAAAACAACTCACGATTTTGAGATACTAATGAATAACAAAGGAGAAGGAGCTGGTTTAGGAGACAAGGAGGTTAAGTTCAGTCACTGACATAAAGACTTGAAAGACAGCCAAGTAAAAATGTTCACATAAGGGGTTGGGATACATATGACACACCAGGTCTTAAGTGGAGATGTGAGAATTACCAGCATAGATATATGATAGCTGAAGTCATGTGCAACAAGATGAGCATTCCAGAACTGAAAGCAAATAGTAACAGGAGAACACATTTCCTCCTTGAGACCATCCTGGAGCGACTTCTCTTACCACCCCTGGAGACTTGGTGTAGACCCTTCCACCCATTTGGAATAACCTCTCCAACTTTATAACCTTGCCCCAAATTTACCTCTCAAATAAACTTCTTCTGATTAATTCTACTTAACATTAGCTCATTTAGTATTCATATTGTTTGTAGTATTCACTTATACTTGTCTGTAAATACAATTTTTTTAATGAATATATGCCCTGAATTAATTATGTCTTACCTATATGTATACCCTATCCACTATTCCCTAAGATTTCCCCCAGGTTTCCCTTTTGTTTTTAGAGACAGGGTCTTGCTTTGTGGTCTAGGCCAGAGTGCAGTAGCATGGTCATAGCACACTATAACCTCAAACTCCTGGGCACAAGCAATCTTCCCACCTCAGCCTCCCAAGTAGATAGGACTATAGCCATGTATCATCACATTTAGCTAATTTTTAAACATATTTTGTAGAGACTCGAACTCCTAGTCTCAGGCAATCCTCCTGCCTTGGCCTCCCAAAGCATTGGGATTACATGCATGAGCCACCACACCTGACCTTCCCCCAGGTTTTCTTAAGGATCATTGATGACAGTGTTCCCATTTATGTCCTTTTCCTAAGGATTACAAATCTACAAGCTCCTAGCAAACGTGCCTGGTGTATATAGTAGACATGAAATAAATATCTGCTGAATTAAGGAGGAATAGGAGGCCTGTAAAGGCAAGTGGCAAGTCCCTTTCATCATGTATAGAAGTATGATGAGGAAGTTCTGTCTTTCTCCGTGTCTATGGTAGCATTTTGGCCAGTAATACTTAGAGAAACTCTGTCTTATCTGAGTTATTAACTAATGTAATAACCACCAACTAAATACCCTAGGAATTAAATATTGAGTTAAGCTTGCTTAGATTGAGGTAAATCAGAACCTCTCATAGATCAAAAGAAAAAGCTCACTTTGGTTTGTATGTCTGTCTGGCTAAAAATGGTACAGCAGAATTGCTGCCTGGTTTGAGAGCAGTTGCTAAGAGGGCTCCCTTGAGAATGGCATATACAAGCAAGACAGTATCTAAAACAACTGCTGAGAGGTTCCAGGTCACCCAAATTGGCTTAGAAAAGTCTCACTGACTAAATGTCTTGTTTGAGCTTTGGAAATGTGCCCTCAGTGGTGTCTGGGTTCACAAGGGAAGTTGAATTTATGAACTGACAATCTGCCTGCTGGAGGAAAGCTGACACCCAGTGGAAGAGAAGCAACCAGGCTAGGTTGGCTTTTTTTTGCATTCTTTTGTTCACCCCTTTGCTGTGGGTAGGGAAAATGTCAAAGGCATCTTTTGTCTGTAAATCTTTCAAAGTCTTAATAAACAGAAAGTAAGACGGTAATAGACTGAAAAAAACTGAGAGGAAAACTCAACACACCTACCCTCAAAAACCACAGAACACAATCTTGTTATTAAAAACAGAGTGGAGGGTACAATAGAAACTTGGGAGCTTTTAGTGTTCCTTTTTCCTGATTAAATGTAGATCACACAAGGGCTCTTAATGGGAGAAAGGGAGTACAGCTCCCAGCACATCTGGTCTCTGGTATTAATCTTAACTGCCTGGTGATATCAAGGCACGTGGCTTTTGGGGCAGCAAATACCTGCAATGATGACTGAGTCAGTTCGGGCTGGGCCAAATTTCAATGTCATCTCATGCTTGTGTTTATGAACTGCCAGGTGGTCCTCGTTTGTAAATCTCTGAAACGAAACAGAAATGGAGATGTGAAAAAACAAAAACCTGATTCAGTGCCCTTTTAAAATGTCCTACCAAACATCTTGCAATGAGATTGGTCCCTGGAAAGAAGAACTGAAGAGGGAGAAAACACTGGAATAGGAGAAAAGATGGAGAAAAAAGGATGCTGGAGGGCAGGGAGAAGAGGAGAGGGGGAAGACCACACCACCAACTGCTCTGTAATATCAGGTCCAAACAACAGAAGTGGACAGATTGTTGGTGAAGTGGGGTCCAAACAGGAGGCTCCAAATGAAAAAAACATTAAGGCAAACTCGTATTGAACAAAGGGAAACAATTTTTAATAATAATAATAATAAAGAGAAAAGGGAAGGGCTGGGCACTAGTTGGCCATCACAAAAACAGGAAATTGAGAATGAAGCCCTCCATGGTAGGGCTGAATTGGACTCTTTTATGAGGGGGCTAACAGGGAGATAAATTATGCAGGATTAGGAGAACCATTTAACTTCTTGGCCCCTACAGTGCTGCAGCAGGCGCCTGCATGGCTATTTGGCTCAGAGTTTTAATGAGCCAGGATGGAGCTGTAGAGGACCAAGGCCCAATGGCCAGTAATGGCACATACCAGCCCCATCGGCCAAATGCTGTCTCCCCTCATCGGGCAGCCCGCCTGGGCTCCATCAGCCATAAAAAGGCCAGTACAATGCTGATGACTATATAATGGTAGAATAAAAATGCCAGCAAAAAATATTTTTTTAGGGGTAGGGAGGAGCCTGTAGGTAGGATGAGGGAAGAGAAAGGGAGATGGTATAGAGATTTTATTTGTTTGGGATTTGGGTGAAAGGACAATGAAGAAAAGTGGGCTAAGTCTATCTAGTTTATGACTAAGTATAATAGGATTACTGGACAATAATTTATGCTCCAATCCCTTCTTAAAAGGGGGAGAGTGAAGGGAACAGATGAACAGCCGTAATTCAAAAAAATAATATTCTCAAAAGTCCCTTTGAGGCTCCTGGCCATATTCCTTCATTAAAACATGCCTGCAACACAGTTACAGCCTGGATGCTGCAGTTTTCCACAGCTCCTTCACAGTGAGGCTCTGAAACATGGTTCTATTTGCCTTTTTGCTTCTAAAAATGGTGACTGGTTAGTCCTCTCTTTTTACTTTCTTCATCACGTGTATACTTCTCACCAAATACTATACGTTTAGCCTTCTTTTCCACAGCTCTTCTTGACTGCAAACAAAATACACAGGAGTTGGCCCCATCCAGCTTCTACCTGTCAGGAAAGCAACACCAAACTGTTTCTACTACTTTATTTACCTGAATTTACAACTAAAGCCAATTTAAGATCCAAAATCCTAGGCTGGGCGCGATGGCTCATGCCTTTAATTGCAGCACTTTGGGAGGCTGAGGTGGACAGACTGCTTGAGCCCAGGAGTTCAACACCAGACTGGGTAATCTGGCAAAACCCTATTTCTATACAAACATTTTTTATTTTTATTTATTCATTTATTTTTGAGATGGAGTCTTGCTCTGTTGCCCAGGCTGGAGTGCAGTGGCGCAATCTCCGCTCACTGCAACCTCTGCTGCCTAGGTGTAAGCAATTCTCCTGTCTCAGCCTCCTGAGTAGCTGGGACTATAGGCGCATGCCACCATTCCCGGTTAATTTTTGTAGTTTTTTTTTTTTTTTTGAGACAGAGTCTTGCTCTGTCACCCAGGCTGGAGTGCAGTGGCGCGATCTCGGCTCACTGCAGGCTCTCCCTCCTGGGTTCACTCCATTCTCCTGCCTCAGCCTCCTGAGTAGCTGGGACTACAGGTGCCCGCCACCACGCTGGGCTAATTTTTTTGTATTTTCACTAGAGACGGGGTTTCACCGTTAACGTTAGCCAAGATGGTCTCAATCTCCTGACCTCGTGATCCGCTCGCCTCAGCCTCCCAAAGTGCTGGGATTACAGGCATGAGCCACTGTGCCTGGCCAATTTTTGTATTTTCAGTAGAGACGGGGTTTCACCATATTGGTCAGGCTGGTCTTGAACTCCTGACCTCAGGTGATACACTCACCTCGGGCTTCCAAAGTGCTGGGATTACAGGCATGAGCCACCATGCCCGCCACAGAAAATTTTTAAATTAGCTGGGTGTGGTGATGCTCACCTGTAGTTCCAGCTACTCAAGAGGCTGAGGTGGGGGAAATCACTTGAGCCCAGGAGGTCAAGGCTGTAGCGAGCCGTGGTTACATCACCGTACTCCAGTGAGATCCTTTCTCAAAAAAGGAGTGGTGGCTCACTCCTGTAATCTCAGCACTTTGGGAGGTCTAGGCGGGTGGATCACTTGAGGTAAGGAGTTTGAGACCAGCATGACCAACATGGCGAAACCCCATCTCTACAAAAAACACAAAAATTAGCTGGGCATGGTGGTGGGTGCCTGTAATCCCAGCTACTTGGGAGACTGAGGCATGAGAATTGCTTGAACCCGGGAGGTGGAGTTTGCAGGGAGCCAAGATTCCCACCACTGAGCTCCAGCCTGGGCGACAGAGCAAGATCCTGTTTTTTAAAAAAAAAAAAAAAGCCTCAGTGGGTTTCTGATTGATCTAGGACAAAACTGAATAAAATGTGGTAAAATTTAGCCAAGAACTTTAGTTTTCTCTATTGTTGGTAAACTCCAGGCACCATCTTTTTCAGTTACAGATGTTTCCGTAAGAAAAAAGTGGCCAGGTGCGGTGGCTCATGCTTGTAATCCCAGCACTTTGGGAGGCTGAGGCAGGTGGATCACCTGAGGTCAGGAGTTCGAGACCAGACTGGCCAACATGGTAAAACTCCATCTCTACTAAAAATATAGAATTAGCCGGGCAAGGTGTCACGTGCCTATACTCCTAGCTACGTGGGGCACTGGGGCTGAGGCAGGAGAATTGCTTGAAACAGGGAGGAGGAGGTTGCAGTGAGCCAAGACTGCGCCACTGCACTCCAGCCTGGGCAACAACAGTGAAACTCCATTTCAAAAAAAAAAAGTGAGAGTTTGGGGGAAGGAGGGAATAGTGTATGTATATATACATGTACATACACATATATACACACACACATATACATATATACACACACATATACATACACACACATATACGTCACACACACACACACACTATATAGTGTGTGTGTGTGTGTGAGACATATAGAGTGTGTGTGTGTGTGTGTGAGGTGGAGTCTTGCTCAGTTGCCCAGGCTGGAGTGCAGTGGTGCAATGGCGCGATCTCAGCTCACAGCAACCTCCGTCTCCCGAGTTCAAGTGATTCTCCTGCTTCAGCATCCCAAGTAGCTGGGATTACAGGCATGCGCCACCATGCCTGGCTAATTTTGTATTTTTGATACAGAAGGGGTTTCTACATATTAGTCAGGCTGGTCTCGAACTCCCGACCTCAGGTGATCCACCTGCCTTAGCCTTCCGAAGTGCAGGGATTATAGGTGTGAGCCATAGCACACCTTTTTTTTTTTTTTTTTTTTTTTGAGACAGAGTTTCGCTCTTGTTGCCCAGGCTGGAGTCCAATGTCACAATCTCGGCTCGCTGCAACCTCCGCCTCCCAGGTTTAAGTGATTCTCCTGTCTCAGCCTCCTGTATAGTTAGGATTACAGGTGCCTGCTACCACACTTGGCTAATTTTTGTATTTTTAGTAGAGACGGGGTTTCACCATGTTGGCCAGGCCGGTCTTGAACTCCCGACCTCAGGTGATCCGCCCACCTTGGCCTCCCAAAATGCTGGAATTACAGGTGTGAGCCACTGTACCCAGTCAAAAAATATAATTTTAAGGGGATATGACAAGTAGTAGATTATGCAGGGCTGTAAGTTTTCAAAATGTACTTATGTTGGCCGGTGCAGTGGCCCGGCCTTTTTCTCATATATTTTTGAAAACCATATTATAATATCATTAGTTTCCTTTGTAATCCTATGTATTTCATGAATTTAAAAATATTACTCTAGGCTGGGCATGGTGGCGCATGCCTGTAACCCTAGCACATTGGGAGGCCAAGGCAGGTGGATCACTTGAGTGCAGGAGTTCGAGACCAGCCAGGGCAACATGGTGAAACCTATTTCTAACACAATTCTTATCTTAAATGCCTAGAGGGAGAATAAAAGTTTACTGACGCTTTCTGTCAAAGTGATCACCAGGCCAGGTGCAGAATGGCTTGAACCCAGGAGGTGGAGGTTGCAGTGAACCAAGATCATGCCATTGCACTCCAGTCTGGGCAACACAAACAAGACTGTGTCTCAAAAAAACAAAAAAACCCCAAAGTGATTGCTAATCTGGCTATGTTTACATAGTCCTTATATTTTCTCTCATTTATTAAGAGTTAACACTTCAGAAATTCTCTAGAATACTGAGTCCCAGTTCTCCTGTCCTTGGCCACAGCTGGGGTGAGTGGGCCTAAGCCAGGGGGCTGTGGGTGCTTGGTGTGCCCCCACTTATGGCAAGGGAAGGGTGGGATGGACCCCCATAAGAAAAAAAGAAATTCTCTAGATTAGTCATACACTTCATGCTTAGGAAATCATCCTTCTGAAAGCAATTTCTCAATTAAAATAGCTAAAATTATTATCATAGTATTTTTTAGTAAGATGGGATCTCATTTTGTTGCCCAGGCTGTTCCTGAACTCCTGGGCTCAAATGAGTCTCCTGCCTCACCTTCCTGAGTAGCTGGAACTATAAGCGCACACCATTGTGCCTGACTAAAAATAGCTAAAGTGTTATTAAGTGATAAAAATCTTGACCTAAATAAAAGTATATTCTTTTGAATTAAAATGGGTGAAGGGACTCCCCAAAATATTTCCTTTTTAAATTACTCCCCATTAAAAAATCTAGTTCCCTCATTTGTTTGTTTTATTGTTTGTTTGAGACAGGGTCTTGCTCTGTTGCCCAGGCTGGAGTGCAGGGGCACAATCTTGGCTCACTTCAACCTCCGCCCTCTAGACTTAAGCAATCCTCCCACCCCAGCCTACCGAGTAGCTGGGACTACAGGCATGCA